GTAGTAATAGTAATAGTAATAAATTGCTTTATTTGCATGACCGCATCATTTTACAGTATTGCAAAAGCATGTATATGACAATCAAAATATAAAACAAAACAGCACTAATAATAATCTAGAAAAATTCGGTTACATTACTAACAATGAATCACGTATTTTCATGCAGGAGGAAACAAACTTCATAACTAACTTATTTACATGATGTTCCTTCGAATTCATTATCAGTTTTATGCTTTCTGGAGATGATTTCTTGTCAAAGTCAGGTATTATTCGATTGATTTGATTAATAAATGCCTGTCTCTGTACTGAGTATTTGTTACATTGAAAGAGGAAATGAATCTCATCTTCTACCTGATTTGAGTTACATAAAGGACATAATCTATTTTCTCTTGGCAAATGATCGATTTGGTATCGACCATGTTCAATCATAAGTTTGTGATTACTTATTTTAAATTTAACAAAATTCTGTCGTTCGTCATAATGTCTTAGCTGGTAGAGATAATCAGATGTAGAATAGTCATCTTTAAAATTTTTATAAAATTCTAGTTTTTTTGAATTTTCGAGGCTGTGCCGCCAAAAAGATAGATATTTCTCTCTCATTTCTGTGGTATATCGTCTAATTTTATCATTATCTAGAGATTCAGCATCTAAACTGGTTAGATTGTATTGTTCAAGCATGTTTATGAAATTGGAAAAATATCCGGAATTATTCATAGAATGTAGATTCTTTGACATAAGGAAAGACTGTTTGACTATAGAGTCATTATCTTTGTTGTTGAGGTAAACAAAATATTTCATAATTTTCTGATTTATCGGGATAAGCAGCGGCAGTCTATCAAGTTCAGCTCTGCAGGCTATGTTAGAGGCCTTATTGTTAACCTCTAAGTAACGTTTACAGAATTTGAGGTGGATTTTTTCTATTGGGGAGCTATCCCATTTTTTAAAATCTTGCTTGGTGTACATTCCCCATACCTCGCTGTTGTAACTCAAGATTGGGAATACCATGGTGTCAAAAATTTGGGATGCAGTATTAGGATTAAGTTTGTTAAGAATTGTCCGCTTCCGAATACTAGAAAACGCGTGAAGGGCCTTTTATTTTAAGTGTTCGAGTGCAAGTGCAAAGTTTCCCGTTGGAGTTAAACGTGTACCTAAATAAGTGTATTCTTGGACAATTTCAATTGACTCACTGCCTATGTTGAATTTGATGTCAATAGATTTTTTTGGGCGTTTCTGGAATATCATGATTTTTGTTTTCTTCGGATTAATTTTTAGCTTCCATTTGTCACAATACAAAGAAAGCGCATTTAAACAGTTCTGTAATCCAGTTTTCGATCTTGATAGAATAACTAAATCATCTGCGTAGAAAAAAATTTATTTTTTTTTCCCATTTGGGAGAACAAATGGGTCAGATAAGGTGTTTTCGAATAAAAGTGGTAGATTGTTTAAATAGAGGTTAAATAAAAGGGCTTAAAATACAGCCTTGACGTACACCTCTGGAATATGAAAAAGGCTGTGTTTTGTTTTCACCGATTTTGATGGAACATGTCGAGTTGCAATAAAGACTTTTCATGAGGTTGTACAAGTTTCCTCCTATATTCGTTTTTAGCAGCTTGTAAAACAATCCTTCGTGCCAAACAGAGTCAAACGCTTTGCGAAAATCTACGAAACAAGCGTAGACTTTTTCCTTGTGATAATGCACATATTTATCTATTAGGGTCCTTAGAGTGAAAACATGGTCTGCAGTGCGGTTTTCAGGCAAAAAGCCAATTTGGGAATTATGTAATATCTTATTTTCCTCAAAATACAAGTGAAGTCTTCGATTTAAAATAGAACAGAACAGTTTTCCAAGGCAACTAGAAACACATATGCCTCTGTAATTTGTTGGATCACTCTTGTCACCAGATTTGTAAATTGGGGTTATGAGGCCTTGACACCAAACATCTGGCATTTTTCCGGATTGTAAAATAAGGTTAAAAAGTTTGACATAGACAGGCATTAGTGGTTCGAGGCTTGCTTTGATCATTTCATTTCGTATTTTGTCAACAAATGGTGATTTCTTATTTTTCAATTTCTTCGCCGCTTGACGTATTTCCCTCTCAGTTATCTCATAATCGAGATGGTAGTAGCTGTAGTATCTGTAGTAGGTGTAGTAGCTGTAGTATCTGTAGTAGGTGTAGTATCTGTAGTATCTGTAGTAGCTGTAGTAGCTGTAGTGGGTGTAGTAGGCGTAGTAGCTGTAGTAGCTGTAGTAGCTGTAGTATGTGTAGTAGCTGTAGTAGCTGTAGTAGGTGTAGTATGTGTAGTAGCTGTAGTAGCTGTAGTAGGTGTAGTAGGCGTAGTAGCTGTAGTAGCTGTAGTATGTGTAGTATGTGTAGTAGCTGTAGTAGCTGTAGTAGGTGTAGTATGTGTAGTAGCTGTAGTAGCTGTAGTAGGTGTAGTAGGCGTAGTAGCTGTAGTAGCTGTAGTATGTGTAGTATGTGTAGTATCTGTAGTAGCTGTAGTAGGTGTAGTAGGCGTAGTAGCTGTAGTAGCTGTAGTAGGTGTAGTAGCTGTAGTAGCTGTAGTAGGTGTAGTATCTGTAGTAGCTGTAGTAGCTGTAGAACAAACAAGGAATTGGTAAATAGATAAAAGGAAAAAAATGAAAAAGGAAAAAAAAAAAAAAGACTCACGAACAGTAAGACTGTAAGATGTTTGACATGACTTTGTTTTTAAAGGATTTAAGGGGGAGGTGTTTAATGCTTTCATCAAGGTTATTCCAAACTTTTACAGCCGCAAGCGAAAGTTAAATTTACCATAGTTTGTTTTAATAGTATTGAGGTAATAGGTTGATTTAGAAGCAAGCCTGGTATTGTATGAGTGTATGGATGCTACCGTTTTAAAGAAATTTTCAAAGGAAGATGGAAGAAGATTATGGTGATAGTTATACATGAGGAGTGCATTTATGAAGGGTAACAAGATCAGTTAATTTAAGATTAAATAATGTTTAATTTCTTAAAAAGAGGCTCAGAGTGATCACCTGGTTCCGAAAAAGTTATAATACGTGTTGCTTTCTTTTGAAGAATTATCGAAGGTCTGAGAGTAGAACTATAAGTATTGCCCCAAATTGATAAACCATAGGTGAGGAAGGGGTAAATATTAGTGAATAATATAATTGAAGTAATATGTTTCCGTTTACATAATGTCTAATTTTAGATAGTACCCCTATTATAACCTCTTGAAATCTTCTTGCTCAATTCTTCGTTTTCACTGTCACGCAATAAACACGGCACAAAAAAATACATTTGAAACCGTCCCGTGGAAGAAGCCAAGAAAATGAAATGTTATAAAAGACTAATGTATAAACAATTTGTCCAAATCTCAGGTCTTTGTGGCCCACAGTTTCTGAGTTAGTTGCCGAAACATTTCACGCACCTTCGTAGAGTTTTGTATGGAGACGCCATATTGGTGGACAGAAACTGTCCACCAATATGGCCGCCGGAAGTCAACAAAAACATCTGGAGTTCACTTTTTCTATTAAAGCGCCTCCTTTTCACTTGAGAACTAGCATACTTGCGCATAAACATATCTTCTAATACCTGAAATGGTTAAACTGCTGAAAATCAAGCGGAGAGACTTTTTTCAGGAGATAGCATTCCTATTTTGGTGTCACGCACTGTGAAAACTCGGAAGTTCAAACTGCTGTATTTTCGAAATGAAACATGCTTCGGGGCTGGAAACTTGTACAAAGATTTATTTCCTATTAATCTTCAACCTAGTGTAAATGAGAATTCGTAAAACCTGGCTTTTTTGACTTTGCAATCTGATGACGTCACCGTGAAAACCAAGTGCAAGTACGGTTTCCAGTTCAAATTAGAATCAAAAATGAGTCCTAGGTATTTAACTTGGTTATCACATTTAACAGACATATTGGAGATATTAAGATTCACCTTGTCTTTGACTTTGCGGAGAATGGAATACCACAAAGCTAGTTTTTTTCAATGTTCAGAGATAATTTGTTTGCAAATAACCACTGGCTCACCTTATCTAGTTCTACATTTAGGTTGGTTTCTAAATTTAGGATGTTAATGTTGTCAAGAAACAGGTTTGTATCATCTGCAAAAAGGTGAAAATCCAAAATGTTGGAACATTTAGGCAGAGGATGGCACACGCAAAAGTCGAAACGTGGACGAAAACGTGCAATCTGTCTTGTGACAAGGAATGAAAGGTTAATTTTCCCTACTTACTGGCTATGGAATTTCTTTTGCAACATTTTAGAAGGCTATTTTTGTTCTTGTGTGGAAATTTTGACAATGTGCACCCAAAGGATGTTTCCCAGGGTTATCCAATCGATGACAATCGATATCAATCAGTACCGATCGATAACTAATATGGATAATCGATGAACAAGATTCGTGTGGTTATCGATTGGTATCTATTTTCAATAACAATCAATAGATAAATTGATATCGATTGGTATCGATTAGTTGCAGTCAGTGGCAGAATCGGCGCATAAATATCACATCTTTGTACGCAGTAATTGTAAACACATTTCATTTTAATGCTTTGAACGTTAACAGGAGAACAATACTCTCTTCTTTCTCTTCAATGCCCCGTCCACAGGTATCCGTTTTCCTTTGACAACTCAAAAGTTTGTTCCCGTTCTTGCCTCCTGTCCACACGTATCCCACGACTGAACGTTAACCAAAAACAGAGATGTTTGAAGTCTGAAAACGTTATATCCAAAGTGGAAAACTATTTAATATGCGCGGACATGGGCCAATACTACAGACTTCAAAAAATGCAAAATGGTTGCATCGTGCCTTCACAGAAAAATTCTGGTAACAGAAGTTGTACTTTGGCAATGACGTAAGTGGGTAATTCAAGTACATGTACAACAGAGTATATTAATTCTTTGCGTTGAGAGGACTGGGTCAGAATTGTTTTACCAATTTCGTCCCCATTAAAGCTTCCTAATGGTGGATGATCGGACAGGTAGCATGCGTGACGTCATTTCAAGGTTGCTGTGCCAATCTATAGCAATCGATGAATGGTTTTTGTGTGGTTATTGATTGATCATCGACACCAATTAACTAATTTTATCGATTGATATCGATTGGTTTTCCGATCATCGATTTCCATCGATTGGATACCCCGGGACATTTTGATTAAAATGTAGATGTAGATCAAAACAATTTTACCATTAACCAAGTATAGACTTTGTCGTGGTCGACCCAGTGAAATCGAAGTGACAAACCTAACCTTACAATGAAATATTGTTTTAGATGGGATTGACAATGAGGGACAAAAGTGTTAAATGGCTCCTTTTGGCATAGTTGACATATTTATCCCCTCCCCCTGGTCTGTCTAACCCCACCCCTTCCCCCAAAATCGATGTTGTATTTTAGACCCTGAAGTCTTCCTTTTACAACAAACAACATTGATTAAGGGGTGGGGAGATTTACAGCGTTTAAACAGAATGAGATAATGAGTGAATGAAGTTGTTGATAAAAGCACCCATTTAAGGTGGCTCAATACAGTTTTTCAGGGTCATTACCTCCAAAGTTTGAGCATAACCTACGTCGCCTTAAACAAAGATTTGGAAAAATTGCCACCACATGTGTATTAGATAAAGATGAAAATTTGTTATGATCAGGGTTGCAATGACATCGGAGTTGTCATAGCAACAGAGTGACGCTATTACCTATTTTACTTGCAGCAGTATTTCTTGACACTGGGAACTGTTCTTCCAAAATCGTTTACGTGAGCTTTTTCCCTCAACAGCCGTCTCGATGTTCGTGAAATTTAAACGGAATCTATAGGAGCGTTATCGAGGCATTTTGGGATAAAGGTTTTATGGTTAGAAATACAGTAAAAAATAGACAATCTTGATGTTTGGCCGTTATCTGTAGAAAACGAAGCGCATATGACATGCAATTTCACCTCTTAGTAGTTTCAATCTTTTAAAAAAAACCTGTGTGAAGTATCATGGAGATAGCTCCAGCCGATTCCTAGAAAGAGGGATTTGATTAGTAAGTATCAAGGTGCTCTTGTAAGTGGTTTTGTTAACATTTCGGTCTACTTTAACAAATTTATTAGCGAATAATTTTTCAACCGCTCGATAGATTTTTTTAAAAAATTTGAGATTCTCGAGATTAAGTTTTAGGAGACCTTTGCGTCTTAAACTGTTCACAGTGCCCTATTTTTCCGTGAGATCATCGAGATCGAGCGCGTCTTACCATTAATGGCGGCCATCTTGATTTTCAGTCGTACCGAGTCTAACCTGGGGAAGAGCATGAAATCTACTTATCTAAAAATCAAGATGGCCGCCGTTAACGGTAAGACGCGCTCAATGTCGACGATCACAACAGCGTGCAAAGAAAGTGGTGTCCGGTAGCCCAGGAGTAGTGGATTTGGCTGTTGGGCTAGTGAATTCTGTTATTAACTTGCCCGATGGGCAAGTGAATTTTTTGGGCGGAAATTCAAATTACAGAAGAACTGTAATCAATCCTGCTCATCAGATTTTTGGGGGGCTAGTTGAAATGACTTTCGGGCTAGTACATGCTAGCTACAGCTTGCCCGAATGGCAGGCTGTAAAACTGACTTTCTTTGCACACTGCACACGGAAAAATAGGGGACTGTGAACAGTCTATTTGCGTCTCAAGATTATTGATATATTGTAAGGCAGTAAAATAAGGGCTACTTATTCGCTAATTCTTTATCGGAAGTTTCGTCTTTACAAGTGAAAGCATCTAATTATTAAAGGGTAATGTCTCCAAGTTTCATTTTCACGTGAACAGTAGTAACTAACAATGGATGTGAAATATGCAAAAATGCTGGCTATTGTTGTGCCCGAAAATATGAGCCGGCTTGGAGACAATACCACTGAATAATGAGAGGCTCTCACTTGTAACAAAAAATTTATGACAAAATGTTAGCGAATTGTAGCCCTTATTTGACTGGCTTACAATATATCAGTAACCTTGAAACTAAAAGGTCTAGACATATAAAAGGACAGTTAATCTCAAGAATCTTATTTTTTGGAAAAAAATCTATCGAGAAAGTATTGACCCTGAAAAACTGTATCGAGCCACGTTAAGTGACAAATGTGTCAACTACTTTTGTCCCTGATGGTCTGAAATATGAATCTATGTTTTCTGGCTTGATTTTTGATGCTGAAAAATTTTTGTGCGATGAAGTTGCTCTACGGGTAAAATTGTTTGTTTATAAACAAAAATTTGTAAATTTTCGTCTTGATTTGTTTTTTACGTACAATAAGTGTACGAAGCATGTGTCATTACTTATCCTTGCACTCTGGCCATCATAATGATGCCCCTGGGTCGAGGGAAATCATTTCTGTTGTGATCACTGCCATTGTTGTGGATGTTTCTCAAAAGTGGAAAAACGATGGAGACACTAAGACCGTGAATGGTTAAGGCTTCAGATATATGAAAGGGTTGGGATTTTACTCATTGAAGTATATGAAAGGGTAGGGGAATCTGTCATGTGGGTCTGTGAAAGGGCCTAAAGGGCCGAACAGATGAATTTTATGGCTTTATAAAGTCGAGAAAACATCCTACTTTTGTGATTGATTCCTATTTAAATGACAATGTATATACAGCAGTTAAATGGGATGCAAAGTTC